ATAGCCAGCAGTAATTTTATCACAAAAGTCAGATTTACACCCAAATTCAAGATTATGAATACAGAAAAAATAGTTTTCATTTTGAAATTCTTGTCATATTCTGTGATTTCACTATACGTCTGATTTTTATTCTTTTATTTATTATTTTTATTTTATGTGTATGAGTGTATTGCTTACATGTAGGTAAGTGCACCCATGTTGTGCAATGCCAGTGGAGGAAAGAAGAGGCCGTTGGATCACCTGGAACTGGCGTTACAGACAGTTGTTAGCTGCAATGTGGGTGCTGGGATTTGAACCTGGGTCTTCTGCAAGAACAACCAGTGTTCTTAACTGCTGAGCCATCTCTCCAGCCCCACGTCTCAGTCTCAAATTTTTTGACCAAATAACTTCGATCAGCAACAATATTATGCCTTTAATCATACCGTGTTTCAATGTTGAAAATATTTATGCCAAATATATTTTTGTTGTTGTTTGAATTTTTTTTTTTTTTGAGACAGTGTTTCCTTGTAACCACAGCTGGCCTGGAACTCACTATGTTGAGCAGGGTGGCCTCAATCTCACAGAAATTTGCTTGCCTCTGCCTCCTAGTACTGGGATTAAAAGTGTGTGCCACCACACCTGTCCCAAGTTTTGATTAAAACTTTAAGAGAAATCAAGTTGTAATTTAAAACCCTACAGGAACTCACCATGTAAGTGCATATTTTCTGTCTGTTTTAGATGCAGATGTTGACAGATCACTAATGATAGCACAGAGCCCATTTTATACTCCTGCTTGCTGCCATTATTAATAGTCAGCCACATACTGAAGTTTGAAATTCTTGTAGAGAAAAACGGGCTTTTGGGGTTTTAGAGGGGTAATTGGAGAGGGGAGGGGTTGGTCACTGACTACAAGAATTACATTCACCAAAAAAAAAAAAAAAGACTAAAATATGAGATAACTAAAGGAGCTGAATAAGCCCTACAAAGCTACACAGGTATCAAGGTGAACAAGTAAGTACATTCAGCAAGCAGATCATCAGGGTAGCTGGAGTATATCACTGCATATGTATTATGAAAGAATCATCATTTTCATCGTGACCGAGCCGAAACAAAGTATTATCTAACATGTATTGACTATTAGCCATGCAATAAACTTTATATGTAATTGTTTAATATAGCCACTTTTAAGGTATAAGCATGATTATGATTATGAACATTGTCCTTTTTTCATATTACATGTGAAATAGCTGACTTTTAAAGTAACTTCCCCAGGTTCCTTAAGTAATCACAAGTGGATTCAGAATTCAAACTTCAAAGCCCTCCCTCCATGACTTCCTTCACAACTTATACAATGAATGTCCTGACTGTTTTAGATTTTTTTTTTATTTTTCTGAGTTACCATATTTCACAATCCTGTTATCCTAAGAAGAATTAGGAGTGGAGATGGGGTGCTCCAGTCCCCTTTCCTTTCCCCACAGGCTAGACATAGATATTTATCTTCCTGAGTGGTTTATTATACTGTGTTCTTAACAGTGATCAAGACTGCTCCATAGACAGAAGAAAATCATCCGAAAGGGATAATTTTCAGTTTTTATTTAGCAATGAAGACTAGAAATGAGAGGTTTAATCTTGTACTTTTCTTTGTCTGACCATATGTACATGAGCCTCAACCTTCCACCTTCCTCATCTTTTTTTTTTTAAGAATCACTGCTGGCTTTACCTCTTTCTACCTGCTGGAGGCTTTCAGCATCACATTATTCAGTGGTCAGTTTAAGTGATCTTCATTAAAGTCCAGTGCCTGGGGAAATCACCCTGAGTCTTTCTTCCCTAGCAACAGGCCCAAGAGCAACAACAGCTGCTTAGCCATATGCCACTAGGATGCTATATGGAAACAGAACTTGTAATTAAAAGTCTTAAAATCTCAAGACTTTAGATACCATACTTACTTCATTTGATCATTTGTTTTTAGTGGTGCAAAAGCCAAAAAGAATAAATTAATTATGTGAAATGATAAAAGATAAGCTAGATGATGTTAGTAATTAATGTGGTTAGTAGGTACTTTTTCTTGTTGAGTTAAAGAAATTGCTATTATTGAAATTAAATGTCTTTACAATTTTAGTTTTAAAAATACATTTGTGTCAGCTATTATTAAAATTAAATATCTTTACAATTTTAGTTTTAAAAATAAGTACTACATTTGTATCAGTGTTTTAAGTGTACTTGCAAAGTGATATGGCATGTTTGAAGACTAAAATTTTTAATTTCTTACAAGCCTTTAATCTTTTTTTTTTTCTGTTAATAGCTTTTACTATCTTCATAGTCTTATCTTTTCCGGAATGTCATATAGTTAGAATCATACTGTCAGATTGACTTGTTTCACTTAGTAATGTTCCTTAGTGTTTCTTCAATGACTTTTCATGACTTTGTGGCTCATTTTTAGGATTAATATTCCATTGTATGTCTATGCCATTGTTTATTCATTTACCTTCTGAAACACATCTCATTTCTTGTAAGTTTTAGCAACTATGAACACAATTATTATAAACATTCATGTGCAGGTTTTTGGGTGGACAGATGTTTTCAACTTACTTAGGTAAATACCAAGAAGTGTGAATACTGGATCATATGGTAAAAAGTATGTTTAATTTTGTGCAAAACTGCCAATCTGTCTTTCAAATGGCTATAGCATTTTGCATTCCTGCATCCTCACAGCATTGGTATGGCCAGTGTTTTGGAGAACCCATTCTACTCTGCCTGTAGTAGTATCTCATTGTTTTAATCCTCTAATGACCTATTCATATGAGCATCTTCTCATATGCTTCTTTGCCATTTGTATATCTTCTTTATTGAGGTTTGTATTGAGATCTTTCAAAAATAAGGAAAAACTTAAACAGCATCTAATACATGCCTAAGAGATAGGCGTATTAGACTCCTTTACTAAGGAAGATCTCATGTTTTTAAAGATTTAATTTTTAATTTATGTGTATGCATGTTGGGGGAGTATGTGAAAGTTCCCACAGAGCCCAAAGGCATCAGATCCCCTGAGCTGGAATTACAGGCAGTTGTAGGCTTCCTGATGTGGGTCCTGGGAACTAAACTTGGGTCCTCTGCTCTTAACTGCTGAGCGATCTCACCAGCCTCCTTTTAAGTGGATTGCTCATTTTCTTTTTGTTTTAGATACCAGTCTTGTATTACAAGTGTGGTTTACAAATATTTTCCCAAAATGTGGTTTGTGTTTAGATTTTATTAATTTTTATTTTTATGAATTTAAATTTTAAGGCTTGAGTACTACCTAAACTGAGACTATCATTTAGGTTTGTGTGGTGGAAAGAAAAGCTCTTTTGTGCAAAAACAAATTTTACCACATTTGAAATTCATTAGTATATTCCTCTGTTTGTCAACACCACCCCCAACATGCACACAGATACCACCCTGCATGGCTTAAGCTGCTGGAATCCCAAAGAGTTCAGTGTAAGAAATAAGAATTAAAACTTAACCTGGACCATTTATCAATAAGTAATCTAAGCCGGGCGTGGTGGTGCACCTGTAGTCCCAGCACTCGGGAGGCAGAGGCAGACAGATCTCTGTGAGTTCAAAGCCAGCCTGGTCTACATAGTGAGTTCCAGGACAGCTGGGGCTACAGGGAGACCCTGCTTCAAAAAGACAAATTAAAAAATTAATACTAATCTAATATATAGTAGCTATGTCCCGGTAATAGCCAAAATCTAATAAATATACTTGTGGATTATTTCTTTTCTAAGTATTAATAATACCTTTGACCTTTTTGAAGTTCAGCTGCTGTTGAAGTTGTTTCTAGATATTTTCAATGTTATTAACCAGTAGTTTGTTTTGTGTGTGCGGAGGTTTTGTCTATCTTTCATCTTTTCTTTTTCTTTCTTTTTTCTTTCCCTTTTTTGTTTATTTTGTTTTGCTTAATCAAAACCGTGTTTTTAAGTTCAGATCTATGAAAATTTTTTGACTGTTTTACTCACTTCTTGTGAAAATCAGTATTTTTTCCATTTTTAAACATCTATTAGTAATCAGTTTGGGTTGTAAAGCAATGATATTTCTTTGAAAAGTAGATCATGAAAGTAATTATTTCTATTAGTTAGATAAAATTTAGTCCCCCTCCCAAATGAGTTTATTGTCTCAGGAAAAACTACCTGTTTTGAAAGCAATACCAAATAAAGCTAGGCCAGTCCTTTTCTAAATATTTATGTATGGGAGTTGAATATCATTAGGTAAATACAGAGCTGATCTGGTTGCAGAGCAGAGGGGAATAGGGAGACTGGAACACACCTTCTTCATGTATCTTTTCCCAGGTGTCTTAGACAAATTTAGTGATATTTGGAAAATTGGAAAATTAGTCTGTTATGTTTTTTATTTTAAAGCAACATCAAAACTAAATAGTATTGAGCTATTTATCCTGGAGTTCTAGGTGTCTAATTTATAAGGCTTGTGAATTAGACTTCAGGGCCTATGTTACATTTTATTACAGTCTACAGCATAAGTGTAGACTGGCAAGAATTAAACTAAAAGCCTGCTTCACAGCTGTTATGCATCTGGGAGTTTGGTTTAAAGGGACTAGCTTAGCTGAGCCTGAGTTGTGATAAAATGCAGGATCTGGAGGCCTTTTAACTAAAGTCTTGTGATCTGATCTGAGCTGTATTTAATGCTGGCCCATAAGTTCACATAATTATAATTTGTAAGTGTCTTCAGGACATCAGTAACTTTTAAATCTTACCACATGAAAAATGATCATGTCACCTGGAGACTTTAAAAGTCGTTAGCAAGCTGGTATGAAGGTGATGATCAGATCAAATATTTCTAAAACTTTCTCTATGCAAGTTTTGTTCTTAAAATGTTCCAACTTTTCTATATAGTATACTACTGGTTTTACTAGGATTTCATGAGGAATTTTAATTCTGATAAATGAATGCATGGTGTCAGATTTGTTATACTGCTAGGAAAGATGGTTTACTTTTTTCATGTCACCCTATTACCTTCTGGCTTTCTCTCAGGCTTGCAGATGGGTCAAGGACTCTGGAGAGTGGCCAGAAACCAGCAGCTCCAGCAGGAAGGCTATAGTGAGCCAGGCTACCTCACCAGAGAGCAGAGCAGGAGAATGGCTGCGGGCAGCATTTCTCACACCAGCCACCGTAAACAAGTCCAAGGAGGCATCGATATATATCATCTGCTGAAGGCAAGGAAGTCTAAAGAGCAGGAAGGATTCATTAACTTGGAAATGTTGCCTCCTGAGCTAAGCTTTACCATCTTGTCCTATCTGAATGCAACTGACCTCTGCTTGGCTTCCTGTGTTTGGCAGGACCTCGCTAATGATGAACTTCTCTGGCAAGGGTGAGTTAAATCCACCAATATTTGACTCAAACCCCTTCAAACACAATCATGTTAATGTTCTTTTTATAACATGTATGAATTGTGAAATAATTTCTTTTAATGTGAACTTATACATTCTGCTTTGTTTTACTAAATCCTAGAAACATAAAGCTGTAGTTATTGTCACAGTCAGTTTTGATATTGGCAAAAGAAAGACAGTAGAAAAGAAGGTAAGATCTTTACGGAAAGAGGAAAGGTTACCAATCAAGATGTGTCAGTTTATTACAAATCAGAAACTACAGACTCATTAGAAAAATTTAGCAAACAATTCTCTGAGGTGAGACTTTATGATCCAAAATGTATAGTCTTTGCATCATCGGTGAAGTCTGTGTTTCCCATAGATAGCCATCTGAACAATAGGCATACTTAAACGTCAGTAAATAATATCATTTTCAAAGCTGGACATAGTGGCGCATGCTTTTAATCCCAGCACTTGGGAGGTAGAGACAGGCAGATCTCTGTGAGTTCAAGGCCAGCCTGGTCCATGTAATGAGTTCCAGGACAGCTGGGGTTATAGGGAGACCCTGTCTCAAAAAAAAAATAATAATAATAATAATAATAGTAGTAATAATATTGTTTTCATTGGTTTCAGAGAGAGAAAGAGG